AAGTTGTTAGTTATATGTTAAAAAATCCGCCCTGATATCATTGTATGAGTTCAGAGAGTCATTGTTGCTGAAAAGTATATTTAAAAAGTTATTGCAAACAAGGAAATTGATAGAGATTATAGTACTCGCTGGTTATAGTCGCAACGCAACAAAATGATTTAAATTGTTAACCTTGAAAGTCCAACATATGTAGATAAAGATGGTTTTGAAAACCTGTCCAATATTTATTGGAGATTCTTAGTCGACGTTTGCGGTTTTCTCTTCTCTCACTCAAAGTGATACTACCATGTTTAGGTTTATAATTTCCAACTCTGACTGGGTGCGAAGGAGACTATCTGAAGCCCCAGCACATTGTTGCCATTTGGCCACCGCTTAGACATTATAAGACTTTTGGATCATAATAGTACTGCGATTCACTTTCAAGAGCCTTTGTAAGAATGTATTTCTACAGAAACATTGATTTGGTTTTAACTCTCACCACTTTATTTATGTTACAGGAGACTGTGTGGATCGTAACCAATACTGTCGACAGTGGGCCTCACAGGGTTACTGCTACTCTAATCCTGATTACATGATACCTAATTGCAAAAGAAGCTGCGGAACCTGTTTTAGGTGGGTGGAATTAAATAATTTGCTATATCAGTTAAGATTATAATTTATTGAACATAGGAAATAAATTTTAGTTAATCAACAACTCAGGTTTCTATTTTTTGGCTGTGAGTGAGCCTTGCCAAAACACCCGATCACTGGCCTTTCAGATGACCTCACATGGAAATTCTGTAACCGTTAAATCAGAGTGAACTTTCCCGTTGGGATTCTTGGTTGTTAAAGTTGACTTTGTTCTTACATGAAACAAGCAACTGTGCTCTCTTGTCAGGAATATTAAGCGGGTAATGAGGTCTTGGACATCGTTTAAGAATTCAATTTAGTATTCTCTCAGTAGGAAAATCTATTTTAAATGTTCTTTTTTTGTGCTGCTTTTCAAGTCGAAAAAAAATTCTTATATTGTACCTTGACTACGTAAGAAGTTGCTCTTATGCCGGATTTGACGTAAATGATGAACTGAAATGATCAATATCATCTTAAAGAAGGCTGGTTGAAATTTGCAAGAATTGTTGGAGTAATTTCTTTGTTGACAAATCCTGTTTTCTGGCACGTGATCTACTGGTCGGGAGTAATTTACAGATTCTGAGCCAAAACAATGGCGTTAAAGAGTTGAGTAACTTGTAATTAAGATAATTCAGGCAGTGGATGCCGTATTTAAATGTATCTCTAATCCGGAAAGAAATCAATAAACCTGTCAACCAAAACTCCGATTCCATGTTTGTCATGTTTGTATATCAGATGATCAAGATAACGAAGTAGAAAAATGACC